TCTACTGTACAAAATCAGCCGCTATTCCGGAAAAACTATTCTGCTCCCGCTCGGGCATAAGTCCTTATTCCAGAACACTGTTCCGGAAAAGGGCCAGTGTAGACAGCCCAGTAGTAGATTGCGAAAATGGCGATCGGGGCTCTTTTCCGGAAAAGTGCATCTACATTGGCCACAGATGCTTTTCCGGAAAAGCAGCCTGCCAATGTAGACACTCCTTTTCCGGAAAAACTGAAAACGGAATAGTATTCTGTTTTAAGCAGTTCCAGAAATTCATGCCAGTGTAGACACAGCCATTGACTTAGGTATTTTCTGCTCTCATGTAAGCCACCTCAGAGCACAGCCCGATTGTGAGGTTATGTCTAGAATGACCATCTCTTTCACTGGCTTTGTTGGCTTTCCAAAGGCCCTTCAAGTGACCAAGGAAGTCAACTGCGTGACTGATTACCTCCAGGAGTCCGAGTTCTGGCTTCAGGAAGTGAAAAGGCACGAGAAGAAGGGCTTGCTCTACGGAGTCCCAGTCAGCATAAAGGACTCCATTAACTGTAAGGTATGGCAGGCGTCAGTTAACGGCTTGAGAGCTGCAGGATCGTAAGCCCAATGGAACGTTGTGAGCAACACACTGTCTTGATTGCTTATCTCCGGGTGTCTATGTATTCATGATTTGTCGTGTCAGTTGCAGCCTTGAGGTCAGGCATATTCTGTCAGGTAATGGCTGGATGGGTTAAGACAGGTGGTCGCAAACATTTCCATAATGTATTCCACTCCGTAATAGAGAAATCCTCTCTAGAACACAGCTCTTTCAACACAGTACTGTGAATTGCTTGCATGGGAAAGCAATATTAGGAATTTATTTAGATTTAAATAGTTAGAGCCCTGCAAATCCCGCAGATACGGACTTTATATCTGCGGATATCCAGGGTTCATTTTTTGCAGATGCAGACACCCATTTTGTATCTAGAACCTTGAAAATGTGTAGCTGTCTGCTTTATAGCCACAGGTATCCGCACCTGTGGATGTGGATATCCGTGGATCATTTTTGCAGCTGCGGATACCAATTTTGTATCTGTGCAGGGCTCTGTGAATAGGCATGGCCGGACTCAGTTTTTATTTGTTTTCATAGTAATATCAAATGTCGGTTGATTTTTAAGCATTCTTTTTTTAAGCATTCTTAAGCATTCTTTTTTTTTTTTTTTTCAAATACCATTTTCACATTCGTGCAGAATTATGGTGTTTTTTTCCCCCCTATTTTAAATGTTCATCGTTAAAGGCGATTGGGAAGCTCAGACAATGTGAGACCCAGACAGTAATTACTGAATGATAGTCCTGTAAAGATTCAAGAAGTGAAAGCATATTGTAACAGTTAAAACACAAATTGTCAGCATCGTGTCAAAATGTACAAAGTGAATACCCTTAACTCAAACTTATAAGATCTTATGCAGCAATTGATTCAGGTTTTGGTTTTAACTGTGCCTATCTGTAAATTTCATTAATTGTTGTTGGAATTTTTTTCCCTTGGTTTGCGTGTGCAGTGAAATCAACATTACTGAAATGTACCATTTTTAAAAATTCGAATCCTTCCAAGCAGATGCTAATATCCTTCCTTGTGATGCAATACTCTCCTGTTGACTCCTCCTCCTCTCCCCCCACTTTTTTTTGTGGGGGCTTCTGCACAGCCATGTCAGTTGGAAGTACACAAATACACACTTTAGGAGAGTATACCTGAATACAAACACTGTTATGCATATAGACATCCACACACACTTACACGGTTTGATTAAGTAACTGTGCCAAATGTTGCTGCTTAAGCATGAGAAAAGTACCGTCTTGCATTTGGAAGTTTGAATCTACCGTCCTTTTCTTTGTTTTTTTTCAGGGCCACGATTCCACCCTGGGTCTTGCGAAGTATCTCAATAAACCCGCTGCCGAAGACAGCGTGATAGTGCAAGTGTTAAAGAGACAGGGGGCGCTTCCGTTTGTGAAAACCAACGTTTCCCAGTCCCTGTTGAAGTAACTGGAATCATTTTATTTGATCTGACCCATTTTTGTTGCTGTAGGAAGTCATTGTCTGTTTTCTGGGCAGAATTATACCTACCTAGAGCTGGTCACAATGTCAATGAAAAAACATTGATGCCATTTCTAATTTGAATGAAAAAAGTAGGGGGCAAAACCTAATCTCCCCCCCCCATTTTCACCTGCTTGTTTCAACTAGTTCTAGAGCAGTGCAAAAATAGTTTATTTGAATTTCTGCAAGTAAGTGGGTATCATTTTCCCTCTTCCCCCCCTTCCCCAATTATCAATCATCTATAAATTGAACTAGAAAAGATCAAGTTAAGATCAAGATCAAGTTAAGACTTAGGCTGTGTCTAGACTGGCAAGTTTTTCCGCAAACTCATCTGATTTTGCAGAAAAACTTGGCAGCTGTCTACACTGGCCTCTTGAATTTCCACAAGAACACTGACGATCTCATGTGAGATCGTCCGTGCTTTTCCGGAAATACTATGCTGCTCCCGTTCGGGCAAAAGTCTTTTTCCGAAAGACTTTTGCGCAAAAGGGCCAGTGTAGACAGCATTGTACTGTTTTCCGCAAAAAAGCCCCGATGGCGAAAATGGCGATTGGGGCTTTTTTTTTTTGCAGAAAACCGCGTCTAGATTGACCACGGACGCTTTTCGGCAAAAAGTGCTTTTGCGGAAAAGCATCCTGCCAATCTAGACGTGCTTTTCCAAAAGTGCTTTTAACGGAAAACTTTTCCGTTAAAAGCATTTTCGGAAAACCATGCCAGTGTAGACGTAGCCTTTAGTGTATAAGTCTTAGAGC